CTCCTCCCATGTTCGCCTCCAGGACTTCACTAGAGTCTCTCGAATCCTCTGGAACGCTTTACCCCAACCGGTCCGACTATCTCCCACACTGACTGCCTTTAGGCGATCCCTTAAGACTCATCTCTTCAGGGAAGCCTATCCCACCTCAACATAACTACTCAACCATCACATTCTCAAACAATTCATCCCCACACAGCTACCTCCTCATGTATCACTGGCCCCTCCCTTTTAGATTGTAAGCCCTCAGGGGCAGGGCCCCCCTTAGCATCTTGTCTTGTATTGTGATTGTAATGTCTTCCTTATATTGTAAAGCGCTGCACAAACTGTTGGCGCTTGAAAAATCCTGTATAATAATAATAATAGATGCATGACACAGGAATGTATGTATCCTCTATATACTGATATATAATAATAGATCCATGACACAGGAATGTATGTATACTCTATATACTGATAGATAATAATAGATCCATGACACGGAAATGTGTGTATATTCTATATACTGATAATAATAGATCCATGACACAGGAATGTATGTATACTCTATATACTGATATATAATAATAGATCCATGACACAGGAATGTATGTATACTCTATATACTGATAGATAATAATAGATCCATGACACGGAAATGTGTGTATATTCTATATACTGATAATAATAGATCCATGACACAGGAATGTATGTATACTCTATATACTGATATATAATAATAGATCAATGACACAGGAATGTATGTATACTCTAAATACTGATAGATAATAATAGATCCATGGCACGGGAATGTGTGTATATTCTATATACAGATAATAATAGATCCATGACACAGGGATGTATGTATATTCTATGTACTGATAGATAATAATAGACCCATAACACGGGAATGTATGTATATTTTATATACACTGACAGATCCATACCATTGGGATGTATGTATATTATGCACAGTGGCCCCCCGGCTGTACAATACACACGGATATTGCACCGGGGATACATCCTGG